GCAGCTCTCTCATCTGCCTGTTTTTCATCTTGATTTATAAACATCCAGCTGAGTTGTGAACAGACTGATGTTAAGTTTCTTGGTTATTAGATTTTTGCATGTTGCTTTGATACCAGCCAAAAGTAGAAAGATCTTACGTCTGATCTTGCTTCTGATGTTTGCAGCCATTAAGGAATGACATAGGGAAGCTAATGGAAAAGATTTAGTGGAGAGCTTAAATACCAGTAAGAATGGAAACATCAAATATTAGCTTAAGGCTGTCCATTGCTTTTTGTCCCACTCTGTTCCTTTCCCAAGGCATTGAGATTATTCTACTGACCATAAGCTGCAATTTTCCCCAAGTGAAAGAGACAGCTGTACTTCAGTCTCAGAAGAGCACTGAAACAGAAAACGAACATTGTATGTCTGATACTGATAAATTTGGGTTCTGATACAAAGTTGTGGAACAAAGGAACATCTTGGGTGTAAGGGAACATCTCATTACTTTGTGAATTTCTTAATTATGGAACTACATCACATGCAGGATGAAAGGTGTGACCTTACTGTGGTGTATTTTAAATGGTAGAAAAGCAGCAACGTTCTTTTAGCTTCTATTGAGAAGTTCAGCTTAATTCCAGAGGAATTTGGAAAGCAATAGCTTTTGTTTGTTTGTTTGTTTGTTTGTTTGTTTGTTTGTTTGTTTTATTGGGCTTTTTGTGGCTTTTGGAGAAAAAAAAAGTCTGACTGTTGTGGCAGAGAGGTAGTCTGAAAGGTTAGTGAGTAAACGTGTTTGCATACATTTTGATTAGGTCATGCTAGGATGCCTTGGGGTTTCTTCTTCTAGAGAAGTGTTGGCAAATCTGTAGCTTACATGAGGTGTAAATGCAGCTCACATTTTAGAGTTACGTCATGTGACCAGCAGTGGGGACATGCTGACACAGGAGCTCTTGGTTAATAGAAATCCCCAGCTACTGAAGCAGCAGTGACATTCAGCAGGGTGTTCCACCAAGTCTTGTTCAGGGAAACTTCTGAGCACTTTCTCTTCTCAGGATATGTGCTATACTATGTGGTTGTTGATGATGTTAAAATTTTGACATGCAGCTGGATAGGCTAAAAAGATTGGCCTTCTTTATGGTAGAGGTTTGCTGATCTCCAGAAGTATTTTACAGAATCAGGAATATTCAGTTTGGTGATCTATTGAGAACATAATAAGTTCTGAGTTCTGCTACAAAAGGAATGCACCTTTTCATCAACTCTCATATAACTAATGCAGGGCAGAAAACCCAATTCTTTTCAGCCTCTTGATTGAACTACTGTAGGCTTTTGAAAGCATTTTTGGTGCTTCAATTAAAAGAGAATGAGTAACTGAGAATCCATTACTTAATGAAAGCATTTGTTTCAGTGGCTGATGCTTTTATCTATTTTATACTTGTGTGTTTAGGAACTACTTTCCCCTTTCTCATGATCAGAATTCATCCAGGTTGAACTTCTAATCCCCAGATCTTGTTATGCCTTTGTTTGCAAGTGTAAGAAGCAATTTGATGTCACAAATTCTTTCTTTTTTAATACAAGTTACGTCCTTGTAACTTCCATAGTCTGTTCTTTTATTTCATTACTTCCAAAGATTCTCATTCTTTGTATTTTCATTTTGGAATGAGGTTTCCACAAGGCCTATCAGTAATTTATTAACTTACTACTCTGGAGGAAGATCATGCTTGATGTTTGAATTTTTATTATTCATCATTGACTGCGGCGATATTAGATTAGAGTTGTATGAAGTCAATACAATAAGTAAGCAAGAAAAAATAAACTTTTGCTGTAATGTAATTGTCCTATTCATTTTCCAATATAATTTTTAACCTGCAAAGACATTTCATTAGTTTGGATAGGACAAAAGATAACTTCTTCCTCTGCTGTGTTTCTGGTTAATGTATTATCTTTGTAGTTAAAATGGGCTGTAAAACTGAAGACTGCTTCATCCATTGCTTATTAAAATGAGTCCATGTATATGTATATATATAAATATATATATATATATATAATTTCCTTGGAAGAGTGTATTGTTTCTGCAATTGGCTCTCTTATCTTTCTAAAAGAAAAATCATCAATTACTTTTTGTCTGTTTGACAGAGAATCTTGCATATATTTGACAAGTAAGCTGCTCTTTTTCTTTCAAGGTACAATTCCCTCTTTTGTTCAAAATTGCATCGATAGTAAAAAAAAAAAATAGAAATTACTGTATCTTTTTTCATGCTTTCAAATATAATATGTTACAAAAATTGAGAGCATTTGTATTTATTACTGTGTCTAAAACAAAGGAGCACTTAGTATTTTCAAACTGTGTTTGTCGTAATTGTCGGTGTAATTATTTTATCTAGTTTAGAAAAGTTATTACTTCCAATTAGTTCTTAACTCCTGTTAAAATCTTTTAATGTCAGTGTTCTGTGTATATCTTTAGCTTAAAAAACCCCAAGTGTTATGGGTATGGACTTCTCTGAACACTGCTGTTGTGACAACTGAACCAATGGTGTTCATGTAGCATAATTTTGACAGTGTTTGGTCTGTGATACGAAAATTACCTAAACTGGTGGGTTTGATTGTTTGTTTTTTATCTCTGAGCAGGATCTATACAGTTGAAGTAGGATTAGTAGTAATACTTAACTCCATTGTGTTTTAGTTGGTTTTGTTTGTTTGTTTGTTTAGTTGTTGTTGATTTTGGTTTTTTTCAGTAGAAATAAATTTAGTAACTACAGGGGCATGGGACCCTGAATTAGCAATAATTTTGATGTGGTTCAGCTTAGGCTTTCTCCTTACCATTATCTCATCAAAAGAAACCAAATGCTTTTTATTTGAAAAAATGTGAAGTTTTATTATATAATAACAGTTAGGATAATGAACATTTTAAGTATTGCAAACTCAGTGAATAAGGAAGAAAAAAGAAAAGAACATTTTTTTTATTTTACCAAATTTTTCCCTGCCTGCATTGTCCTTGTGAATCTACTGTTGCTTCTGCTTGGTTGCAGTTAATTCAGTGACTTTAAACTGTGACCTGTGCAGTGCCCTCTGATCTGCTGGAAGATTTTCCTATCATGTCAAAGGTCAAACAGCCTGTTCCCTGCTCCTTGCTGCAATTTCTTTATTGGGTTGCAAGCTCCTGTAATGAAATTTTCTTGACTGTCATACTGCACAGTTTTTTTGAATCCTGGACCTGAGCATAGTAAGGGTAATTCCAAGGAGTGTGAGTTGTCTCTCTTTCTCTAGGAGGTCATACCTGATGTGATCATCTTGGAGAAGCATTAAATTGATTGGGAACAAGCAAGAAGAAAGCCTTCTGCCCCCTAATGCTGTCTGTCAAAAAGAATGGAGGGCACATTTGATGAGAAACTCAACATGAGCTGGCATTGTGTGCTCACAGCCCATATAGCCGACTTAATCCTGAAAGACATCAAAAGGAGCGTGGCCAGCAGGTTGAGGGAAGTGATTCTGCCCCTCTTCTCTGCCCTTGTGATACTCCACTTGGAGTCCTGTGTGCAGTTGTGGTGTCCCCAACATAAGAAGGACATGAACTGCTGGAGCATGCCTGGAGGAGAGCCACAAAGTTGGTTAGAGGACTGGAGCACCTCTCCTATGAAGACAGGCTGAGAAAGTTGGGGCTGTTCAGCCTGGAGAAGAGAAGGTTGCGTGGAGACCTCATAGCAATCTTCCAGTACCTGAAGGAGGCCTACTGGAAAGCCAGAGAGGGACTAAGAACTGTAGTGATAGGACAGTGGATACAAACTGAAGGAGGGAAAATTTAGGTTATATATTAGGAAGATATTTTTTCCTCTGACTGTGGTTGAATGCCCCAACACTGGCAGTGTTCAGAGGCAGGTTGGATAAGGCCTTGAGCAACCTGGTGTAGTCGGAAGTGTCCCTGCACTTGGCAGGGGGAGTTGGGACTAGATGATATGTAAGGTCCATTCCAACCGCTTAACAGTCTCTGATTCTAAAGGTCTTACTACAATTCACAAAAGACAGGGCTTGGAACAATATGTGTGTGGTCTGTAATAAATGCTAAAATGAGCAAAGAAGGATTTTGTTTTGAGAGATAATTTGTGTTTTGGGTTTAAGAAGTCATGGAGAGAGCTTATGTTTTTCTGCAATATAGCAGGAATTTTCTTGAAATTTTGGGAGTTGTATTCTGCAATGGAATACTTTTAACGAGCTATTCAGTTTTGTCTGTATTTTGTTTTCTTCAAGTCTCTGGATTTGTAATTTCTCCAGTTACATTAGGTGATTATTCTATTTTAATATTTTGATTGCAAGAAAATTAATTTTTTACATGGTTTCATAAACATATAATTTTTATAAAGGATAACATATGTGAAAGAATATACATGGATATTCTTATATTCATTTTATAAATATTAAGATTAAAAATGAACATTATATCCTGGATTTTTTTTTTTTTCATTGTATAAGTTAGACTGTTATTTTGAACAGGGAATAATGCTTAGAGATGGGGAAACAATTATTTGACAAAACTGCTAAATGGCTGAATTGCTTTAATTGATTATGCAGATTTATATCTTGCATTCAAATTGTATAACATCACTCAGCTGCAAATTTGATAGTATCTGTAAATATTAATGAATCAACTTCAAACATAGTTTTGAAGTTGGCAAATATTAGCAAGGGAAATCGGGGCCTGGTGAGACTGACTTGTACAAGTTACTCATTAAATCAAGTACAGACCCTAAAATAATCTTTGATTTAATTCTTTGGTTGCTTGATCACATTGTATCTAAGCTAGATACAATGCAAGATGGTAGTTAAAAATTTTCTCATTGAATGATTTATCTTTGTGGATAATCCATGATTAGTTAAATAACAATCAGAAAATATAATACTTTAAAATTAAACATTAGATTCTTTCTCTCTGTTATGATACAAGAATAAATTGAAAGGAAGATGTTTTTATAGAATGTGGAAAACTTTTGTTTGAATGTGAAATGAAAAGGACTTTCTTTTCCTTCCAACAGTTACTAATTTCACTGACTGCTGGAATAGTGGAATTGCATGTTAACCCTCAACCTCCATGATGCAGTTGTGTTTACTTCCTGCTGTCGAGAGGGTAAGCTGTTCTTCAGATATTATGAAGTTATGATTTAAAAAAAATTACTGTTATGTGAAAGATAAAGTACATTGCACCATTTCCGTGCTATGCATTTTAGAATTTTTTTTTTTTTTTTCACATCAAAAGCTGTAAAAGTGCCTTTATTTATTATAGCTGACTTTGGAAAGTATCTCTGGAGATCTTCTAGTCCAATGCCACTGATCAAGTAGGATCAATTTGAGTGGGTTGCTCAGGTCTTTGCCCAGATTCCAGGAATAGAGACTTGGCTAACTCTGTTTACTGGACTTGCACCAGTATGACCATGTGATGTACTAAATACAAAGAATTTAGTACTTGTGGTCAGTGCAGGACAGGAGAAATATTTAAGAATATGTCCTTGTCAATGTTACTAATTTCTTAAAGAAGCCAGATGAGTAATTTATGAGTAATAATGAGTAATTTAGTGAAGAACCTTAAATATCCCAAAATGATCTTGTTTGTGGAATGGGCAGCTAGAATCTTGTAGGGAGCCTACAGAAGTGTTCAAAGAGCTGAGGTTATAAAGATATGATATAAAGCCAGGTGTATATATTTGTTGGTGTCTGTTGAGTGTAAATGAGAGAAGCATGAAGAAGTGTCAATACCA